GACTGCTTCACCACCAGTCATTAAGGAACTTGGGGCGTGATTTCTGAGCGTATTATCAAAGGAGAAACAGCGTCAGGAATAACTGACCGGGTTCTCGTGACGAAACACCAGCGCCTCTGTCTGGCCAGAACAATTTCGTTTTCCTCTACTTACAGAAAATCTGGTGTCACTGATGAGTGTAATTCAATGGTATCGAGACAATAAAGAATAAAATGTTTCAATATCTTGGCTGGAACAAATCATCAAGAAACCTCGTGCTTAGCAGAGGAACCTTATGACGACGTTTCGACTTCTCCTTGACTATTGTGACTTGACATGTACAACTAATGCGACATTTTTTGTGGCAATGTTTCGCTTTTCATGAGCTTTGTCAAACGAAACGCTGCCACAATAAAATGTTGCATTAATTGCACATGTGTCTGTCCTTTTACCTAACATATTGTCGGTGCAAGAGAAGTCGAAACGTCCTCATTTACATTTCTCTCAAAAATAAAAAAGGAATCTGTCTTTACCGCTCGTTTAAAACACTATAATTGCAAATAGTGTCTGAAAAAATGCTTTCAAGCACTATTTTCAGACGTAGCACAGAAGATCTACAGAAGTTGCAAGCAGGAGCTGTAACAAACACAATGTATGAACTTCAGAAGTCGTAATGAACTTCATTATCTGTCGTTGTTAGTCAGGAGCTTTGCAGGTATGAAGATAGACCTTCAACAGTGATTACGTACGAATGGAACTTTTGGTAGTGAGGTTCAAACAGGAGGTTTAACTGTTAAAATCTTTAGCTGGTTTCAGATAAATCCTTTACTGGTTTCAGATAAATTCTATGTTGGTTCCTAGTAGGACTTTTACAAGTGACTAGTAGGATCAGCACTATTTTCTAGCAGGCATTTAACTAACTTCGCGCAAGATCTTCACCAATTTCCAGCAGGATATGTCTTGGTTGCTAGCATCGTCTTTCCTAGTTTTCACCAGGATCTGCACTAGTCTTCACCAGGACCTGCACTAGTCTCCACCAGGACTTGCATTAGTCCCCACCAGAACCAGTACTAGTCTTTACCAGGACCTGCATTAGTCTCCAGGCAGCAGGACGTCACTTGCAGGTGTACTCCTCAGTGTCCTCCTGACAGGTGTGGCACTGAACGTAACAACACCAGTAAAACTTACAGTTACACTGCCACTTGCGAGTGTACTGTTGCGTGTTGTATCCCCGTCCACAACACAGCAGGTCGCACCCGTCAGCACCTGGGGATGAGACAGAGAGAGAGAGACGTCAGTGTAAGCATTTGCAGAGAGACAGGGAGAAGAGAAAGTCACTGTACCTGTAGACGGAAACATCATTTTCAACACCGTAAATGTGAGATGCTTGTTTATCTATGAAGAGCATTAAACCTACGAGGTGACCCTCATGGGTGGAGGCTCAATCCTCAGTCCACTAACACACGTCTGTCTTTACTGGAGCCCCACTTACCTCTGGAGGTTCTGTTGCAGCGTCTGGCTACCGTACCCAGAGACCCCGTGCTCGGGTTCATCTCACAGTAGTTGGGACTCTTTTGTAAATACACCAGGTGAGACTTGCCCGGCCGCCGCACTCTCCTCTTGGTCCTCCGCAGCTTGAGATAGGGAGGAGACCTTCTCCGGCTCTGTGTTATGGAAGAACAGCAGATCAGAAGCCTAGGAGATGTACATACTAGTGATTCTGAGGATGTCTGGTGTGTGTTGACATTGCTGGTTAGTAATGATATAAGAACATAAGAGTGAAGGAACACTTCAGTAGACACACTGGAAGAATGGAATGATTGTCGAGAAGTTATTTCAGGAGCAAGTTGAGTGATTCAGCCATTCAAATGTCTGGAAAATTAAGTTTTACACTCAAACAGTGAACACATCATCTCCAGGCTGAGGGACTGAACACATCATCTCCAGGCTGAGGGACTGAACACATCATCTCCAGGCTGAGGGACTGAACACATCATATCCAGGCTGAGGGACTGAACACATCATCATCCAGGCTGAGGGACTGAACACATCATCTCCAGGCTGAGGGACTGAACACATCATCTCCAGGCTGAGGGACTGAACACATCATCTCCAGGCTGAGGGACTGAACACATCATCTCCAGGCTCAGGGACTGAACAATCATATCCAGGCTGAGGGACTGAACACATCATCTCCAGGCTGATGGGCTGAACACATCATCTCCAGGCTGAGGGACTGAACACATCATCTCCAGGCTGAGGGACTGAACACATCATCTCCAGGCTGAGGGACTGAACACATCATCTCCAGGCTGAGGGACTGAACACATCATCTCCAGGCTCAGGGACTGAACACATCATATCCAGGCTGAGGGACAACTCATCATATCTAGGCTGAGGGACTGAACACATCATATCCAGGCTGAGGGACTGAACACATCATCTCCAGGCTGAGGGACTAAACACATCATCTCCAGGCTGAGGGACTGAACACATCATCTCCAGGCTGAGGGACTGAACACATCATATCCAGGCTGAGGGACTGAACACATCATATCCAGGCTGAGAGACTGAACACATCATCTCCAGGCTGAGGGACTGAACACATCATATCCAGGCTGAGGGACTTAACACGTCACCTCCAGGCTGAGGGACTGAACACATCACCTCTAGGCAGAGAGACTGAACATATCATCTCCAGGCTGAGGGACTAAATACATCATTTCCAGGCTGAGGGACTGAACACATCATCTCTAGACTCAGGGACTGAACACATCATCTGAAGGCTGAGAGACTGAACACATCATCTGAAGGTTGAGGGACTGAACACGTTATCTCCAGGCTGAGGGACTGAACACATCATCTCCAGGCTGAGGGACTGAACACATCATCTCTAGACTGAGGAACTGAACACATCATCTCTACGTTGAGGGACTGAACACATCATCTCCAGACTGAGGGACTGAACACATTCATCTCTAGGCTGAGGGACTGAACACGTCTCTAGGCTGAAGGACTGAACACATCATTGCTAGGCTGAGGGACAGAACACATCTCTAGGCTGAGGGACTGAACACATTCATCTCTAGGCTGAGGGACTGAACACGTCTCTAGGCTGAAGGACTGAACACATCATTGCTAGGCTGAGGGACAGAACACATCTCTAGGCTAGAGGGACTGAACACATTCATCTCTAGGCTGAGGGACTGAATACATTCATCTCTAGGCTGAGGGACTGAATACATCATCTCTAGGGTGAGGGACTGAACACATCATCTCTAGACTGAGGGACTGAACACATCATCTCTACGTTGAAGGATTGAACACATCATCTCTAGGCTGAGGGACTGAACACATCTCTAGGCTGAGGGACTGAACACATCATCGCTAGGCTGAAGGACTGAACATATCATCTCTTGGCTGAGGGACTGAACACATCTCTAGGCTGAGGGACTGAACACATCATCTCTAGGCTGAGGGACTGAACACATAAGATCTCAGGATGACTGGGGACTGAAACACATCATTCTAGGCTGAGGGACTGAACACATCATCTCTAGCCTGAGGGACTGAACACATCATCTCTAGGCTGAGGGAGTGATTATCTCACACTCTATCTTCACATCTTCCGATGTTTTTCTCAGTATTGGCTTATTAAAAGCACTGACTGGCCCTCACAACTCTGGCTGGTCTGGACTGGTCTGGACTGGTCTGGAAACTCAATAAAGAATCCAGGTATTATTCTGCAGCTAGAAGATAGACAGACAAATAGATAAACATGGATAGACAGACAAAACTTCCCGAAGCTTGTACTTTTCTCCAGACTGAGGGGCTGAACACATCATCTCCAGGCTGAAGGACTGAACCCATTATCTCTAGCTAAGGATCTGAAACATTTATCTCTAGGATGAAGGATGAACACATCATCTCTAGGCTGAGTTACTGAACCATTCTCTAGATGAAGGGACTGAACACATCAAACTCTAGGCTGAGTTACTGACAATCATCTCTAGGCTAATGACTAAACATCTCATCTCTAGGCTGTAAGGTTGAGCAAACATCATCTCTAGGCTGATGGCTGAACACATAATCATTAGACTGAGGGAGTGAATATCTCAAACACATCTCACATCTTCCGATGTTTTTCTGTATTGGCCTATTAAAAGCACTGACTGGCGAAACGTTTCCACAACGAAGATCCCCAAGTGATGCATAAGTGTCTCATTCATCTATGTGTATTACATATTTTCAGTGGGCTACGTTTTCTCAAAAGTCGACAGTTAGAAATGAGACGGTACAGCAATGGGAGGCTATTTGGACACATGCACAGTAAACAGGGACAGAGCCATACGCTAAAAACTTCGCTTAACTTAGAGAGTTATGTACCCAGCAAAGGCTTGTTCTGTATACTTGTGTCTTCGCTCTTCAAACAACAAAAGATTATACGCTGCAGGTGCAGCGTGCTCAGTAGAGCGCAACAGATCTACCTTGTGGACGATGACGGGCTTGGCCTTCTTGTACTTCTGCAGGAGAAGTTTGCCGATGTTGGTGAAGGGAGGGAGGGTCTTCCAGCATGTCTTCATGGTGCAGGAACCAGACACCCCATGACACTTGCACTCCGTACTCAGAGTGCTCCTCACAGCCTGGTGGAGGGGAGGAAATAACTTCAAGTACGCAGTAGACAACAAAGGGGTTCGATGCGGCGTTAGCTGTTAGTAACCCTATAAACTATCAACAAAACAGGTGGAAAGATGACTCATACTGCAAAAGAACTTTATAAGTGCGACGTTTCTTCTGCAAGAGGCTTCATAAAGTAATAAGGCCTCGTGTAGGTGTAACGTTGCGCTTGAACATTTCAAGAATTTATCATAATCAGAAACTGTCAAGACAATTTCCATCCTTGACAAGGTTCTGGAGACCTGTCAAGCTCCACTGAATGCACATGGAATACTAAATGCAGAGATAATATGCATCCACGGCAGGCAAGTATTTTTTCTTAGCGAAACTGTTCAAGTGGAAAGATTTCCTCTCCACTCCTTGTGTGCTGCCATCCTGCAAGGTTTAGCTCTCTAGTGCACAAGTATGCGTGCACCCAACCCCACACACATGCCACAAATCCAAGCGCTATTCACTCCCCTGAACATCTCCTTCACCCTGACTTCCCTCAGTGTGATCCAGGGAGGTCTCTGACACTCCCTGAGCACCTTCACCCTGTCTTCCCTCAGTGTGATCCAGGGAGGTCTCTGACACTCCCTGAGCACCTTCACCCTGTCTTCCCTCAGTGTGATCCAGGGAGGTCTCTGACACTCCCTGAGCACCTTCACCCTGCTTCCCTCAGGTGATCCAGGGAGGTCTCTGACACTCCCTGACACCTTCATCCTGTCTTCCCTCATGTGATCCAGGGAGGTCTCTGACACTCCCTGAACACCTTCACCCTGTCTTCCCTCAGAGCTGATCCAGGGAGGTCCCTGACACTCCCTGAACACCTTCATCCTGCCTTCCCTCAGAGTGATCCAGGGAGGTCTCTGACACTCCCTGAACACCTTCACCCTGTCTTCCCTCAGAGCTGATCCAGGGAGGTCTCTGACATTCCCTGAGCACCTTCATCCTGCCTTCCCTCAGTGTGATCCAGGGAGGTCCCTGACACTCCCTGAGCACCTTCATCCTGTCTTCCCTCAGTGTGATCCAGGGAGGTCTCTGACATTCCCTGAACACCTTCACCCTGTCTTCCCTCAGAGCTGATCCAGGGAGGTCCCTGACACTCCCTGAACACCACCTTCACCCTGCCTTCCCTCAGGTGATCCAGGGAGGTCTCTGACATCCCTGACACCTTCACCCTGCTTCCTCTCAGCTTTATCCAGGGAGGTCTCTGACACTCCCTGAACACCTTCACCCTGTCTTCCCTCAGAGTGATCCAGGGAGGTCTCTGACACTCCCTGAGCACCTTCACCCTGCCTTCCCTCAGAGCTGATCCAGGGAGGTCTCTGACACTCCCTGAGCACCTTCATCCTGCCTTCCCTCAGTGTGATCCAGGGAGGTCCCTGACACTGCTTGAACACTTCCTTCACCCTATCTTCCCTCAGAGCTGATCCAGGGAGGTCCCTGACATTCCCTGAAACACCTCTTCACCCCTTTCCCTCAGTGTGATCCAGGGAGGTCCCTGACACTCCCTGAACACCTTCACCTTCTTCCCTCAGTGTGATCCAGGGAGGTCTCTGACATCCCTGAAACACCTTCATCCTGTCTTCCCTCAGTGTGATCCAGGGAGGTCCCTGACACTCCCTGAGCACACTTCACCTGCCTTCCCTCAGAGTGATCCAGGGAGGTCTCTGACATCCCTGACACCTTCACTCCTGCCTTCCCTCAGGTGATCCAGGGAGGTCTCTGACACTCCCTGACACCTTCATCCTGCCTTCCCTCAGGTGATTCCCGGGAGGTCTCTGACACTCCCTGAACACCTTCACCCTGTCTTCCCTCAGAGCTGATCCAGGGAGGTCTCTGACACTCCCTGAACACCTTCACCCTGCCTTCCCTCAGAGCTGATCCAGGGAGGTCCCTGACACTCCCTGAACACCACCTTCACCCTGTCTTCCCTCAGAGCTGATCCAGGGAGGTCTCTGACATTCCCTGAACACCTTCACCCTGCCTTCCCTCACTGTTGATTCAGGGAGGTCTCTGACACTCCCTGAACACCTTCACCCTGTCTTCCCTCAGAGCTGATCCAGGGAGGTCCCTGACACTCCCTGAACCACCTTCACCCTGCCTTCCCTCAGTGTGATCCAGGGAGGTCTCTGACATTCCCTGAGCACCTTCATCCTGCCTTCCCTCAGTGTGATCCAGGGAGGTCTCTGACACTGCTTGACACCTTCACCGCCTTCCCTCAGAGTGATCCAGGGAGGTCCCTGACACTCCTTGAACACCCTTCATCCTACCTTCCCTCAGAGTGATCCAGGGAGGTCCTGACATCCCTGAACTTTCTTACTCCTATCTTCCTCAGAGTGAAACCAGGGAGGTCTTGACACTCCCTGAGCACCTTCATCCTGTCTTCCCTCAGTGTGATCCAGGGAGGTCTCTGACATTCCCTGAGCACCTTCATCCTGTCTTCCCTCAGAGCTGATCCAGGGAGGTCCCTGACACTCCCTGAGCACCTTCATCCTGCCTTCCCTCAGTGTGATCCAGGGAGGTCCCTGACACTCCCTTTAACACCTTCACCCTTCCTTCTCCTCAGAGCTGATCCAGGGAGGTCTCTGACATTCCTGACACCTTCACCCTACCTTCCCTCAGAGTGATCCAGGGAGGTCCCTGACACTCCCTGAACACCTTCACCTATCTTCCCTCAGGCTGATCCAGGGAGGTCCTTGACATCCCGTGAACACCCTCCCCAAGGAGATCCGACCCGACATCTGCCCCACCGTTTTGTTTATGGAGGTCTCTGACCTCTGGCATTCCCCTCTTCAACCTGGCCGAGGCCGCTCCATGAACCTTCACGCCTGCTTGATGCCGTAGTGTGATAGAAGAGGTAGACGGTCCTAGCACTTCACCTGTCTTCCCTCTGTGATCCAGGGTCCTGAACTCCCTGTTCACACTGGGCGTCCCATAACCCAAACTGATCTGCAGGCCCCGCTCCTGGCCTTTCAACCCTTCCCCCTTGATCCAGGAAGTCTAATGACACTCCCTGCATTTAACTGTATTTAGACTATTTCCCGGACTTAGACACCCTGACACCTTGCACCTCCTTCCTATGGACCAGTGGCCCTGGGCACATGATCTTGAACCTACCTGCCTAAACCTCATGTGATCGGGCTCTCTGACACCCAGCAACCTTCAAACCTTTCCCCGTGATCCAGGACTTGAAATCCCTGAGCACCTTCACCTGCCTTCCCTCAGTTTGATCCAGGGAGGTCTCTGACATTCCCTGAGCACCTTCATCCTGCCTTCCCTCAGTGTGATCCAGGGAGGTCCCTGACACTCCCTGAGCACCTTCATCCTGCCTTCCCTCAGTGTGATCCAGGGAGGTCTCTGACATTCCCTGAGCACCTTCACCCTGTCTTCCCTCAGAGCTGATCCAGGGAGGTCCCTGACACCCCTGAGCACCTTAAACCTGCCTTCCCTCAGTGTGATCCAGGGAGGTCTCTGACATTCCCTGAGCACCTTCACCCTGTCTTCCCTCAGAGCTGATCCAGGGAGGTCCCTGACACTCCCTGAGCACCTTCATCCTGCCTTCCCTCAGTGTGATCCAGGGAGGTCTCTGACATTCCCTGAGCACCTTCACCCTGTCTTCCCTCAGAGCTGATCCAGGGAGGTCCCTGACACTCCCTGAGCACCTTTATCCTGCCTTCCCTCAGTGTGATCCAGGGAGGTCTCTGACATTCCCTGAGCACCTTCACCCTGTCTTCCCTCAGAGCTGATCCCGGGAGGTCCCCGACACTCCCTGAACACCTTCATCCTGCCTTCCCCCCAGTTTTGATCCAGGGAGGTCTCTGACATTCCCTGAACACCTTCACCCTGCCTTCCCTCACAGCTGATTCAGGGAGGTCTCTGACACTCCCTGAACACCTTCACCCTGTCTTCCCTCAGAGCTGATCCAGGGAGGTCTCTGACACTCCCTGAGCACCTTCACCCTGTCTTCCCTCAGAGCTGATCCAGGGAGGTCTCTGACACTCCCTGAACACCTTCACCCTGCCTTCCCTCAGTGTGATCCAGGGAGGTCCCTGACACTCCCTGAACACCTTCACCCTGCCTTCCCTCAGTGTGATCCAGGGAGGTCCCTGACACTCCTTGAACACCTCCTTCACCCTACCTTCTCTCAGAGCTGATCCAGGGAGGTCCCTGACACTCCTTGAACACCTCCTTCACCCTATATTCCCTCAGAGCTGATCTAGGGAGGTCCCTGACACTCCTTGAACACCTCCTTCACCCTATCTTCCATCAGAGCTGATCTAGGGAGGTCCCTGACACTCCTTGAACACCTCCTTCAAACCCTATATTCCCTCAGAGCTGATCTAGGGAGGTCCCGACACTCCTTGAACACCTCCTTCCCCCCTATATCCCTCAAGCTGATCTAGGGAGGTCCCTGACACTCCTTGAACACCTCCTTCACCCTATATTCCCTCAGAGCTGATCTAGGGAGGTCCCTGACACTCCTTGAACACCTCCTTCACCCTATATTCCCTCAGAGCTGATCTAGGGAGGTCCCTGACACTCCTTGAACACCTCCTTCACCCTATATTCCCTCAGAGCTGATCTAGGGAGGTCCCTGACACTCCTTGAACACCTCCTTCACCCTATATTCCCTCAGAGCTGATCCAGGGAGGTCCTTGACACTCAGTGAACACCTCCAAGACTCACCCGTCTGCCAGCGTTGTTGTTATGGAGGTTCATCAGAGCTCTGGCATCTCCTTCAACCTCGCGGGCGTCCATGAACTTCCTCGCTAGCTTGATGCCGTAGCTGTGGGAGAAACTGACTTAGTAGCGGTCCTAGACCACCTCTCTCTCTGGACCACCTGGTCCTGAACTCGGCTGTTCATAGACAGGTGGTCGATAACCAGCTGATCTGCAGCTGCTTGGTTTACAACCTCCTCTTGACTCACGAAATCGTAATGACTCCTCTCCCTGCATCAAGTGATTTTAGACTATTCAGACTTAGACCACCTGTCCTTGGACCACCTGGCCATGGACCACCTGGCCATGGACCACATGATCTTGAACTACCTAGACCTAAACCACATGACTTCGGGTCATTTAGTACACTATCAACCATTTCAAACTATCCGGCCGTAGACCAAGGCTACTTGACTCCCTGGTCAGTGACCTCAGATTTTGGATCAAATTCAAATTCAAATTCAAATTCAGAGTTTATTCTCTATAAAGATTACAATGTTGAATTTACAGAATTTGGTTGTTGTGTGGTTTACATGTAGTTAAATAATGATTACAGAGTGTACCACTAGAACACCTAGCATGGCTAGGCATTTCGGGCAGACTTAGTTTAATTCTTTATTTTAAAATATTACAAATTATGAGGTAAGTTTGTATTATGGCTAAGTGACTAAATACTAGTTTGTGAGTTTAGCAATGTGAATGCTTTTGTTTTGGCACAGTACATAATTTCAGTATTGGAGTATCATAGGATTCATTATTTTAAGATTGAGATTAATATTTCTGTTTATGGTCAAATGGGTGAGTGAGTGTAAGTGTGAACCACCAGGTGGTATTCGTGTAGTTAGTTGATGGGGTTTATCAGGGAGATAAGATGTTTTCTAATGGTAGTTTTGAAGGTGATGAATATGTCTGCAGTTCTAGAGTTCTCAGGTAGGGTGTTCCAGATTTTAGGGCCTTTGACATACATTGAATTTTTGTAAAGGTTTAGTCGGACATGAGGAATGTCGTAGAGATGTTTGTGTCTGGTGTTGTGCCTGTGGGTTCTGTCACAACTATCAAGAGAGCGTTTTAGGTCAAGGTTGATATTGGAGTTTAAGGTCCTGTAGATGTAGATTGCACAGTAGTAAGTGTGGATGTACTGAACAGGGAGTAAGTTTAGATCTATGAAGAGTGGGGGGGGTGTGTTGCCAGGGATGGGATTTAGTGATTATTCTTACTGCAGCTTTTTGTTGGGTTATTATTGGCTTTAGGTGTGTTGCTGCAGTTGATCCCCAAGCACAAATAGCATAGGTGAGGTATGATAAATAAGTGAGTGGTATAGTGTGAGAAGGGCATTTTGCGGCACGTAGTATCGTATCTTGGAGAGGATCCAAACTGTTTTGGATACTTTTTTGGTTATATGTTGGATATGGGTGCTGAAATTCAGGTTGTTGTCAAGGTATAGGCCTAGGAATTTGCCCTCATTATGTCTGGTAATTAGAGTGTTGTCGATCTTAATGTTAATTTGTGCATCTCCTGCTCTGCTACCAAACATAATATAGTAGGTTTTGTCAGTGTTAAACGTAAGTTTATTGGCTGTCATCCAAGTCGATATTTTGATCAGCTCCTCGTTAACAATGGTGTTGAGGGTGGCAAGATTAGGGTGAGAGATGACATAAGTCGTGTCGTCAGCAAAGAGAATGGGTTTCAGGTGTTGGGATACGTTTGGAAATCATTGATGTATATGAGGAAGAGCAGGGGACCAAGGACACTTCCCTGCGGAACTCCAGTATCAAGTGGCCGTGTTGTTGATGCTGTGTCTTTAATGGTAACATACTGATACCTATTAGTAAGGTAAGATTTGAAATAAGCAAGCGCGTGGCCTCTTATACCGTAATGGTCACGTTTGTGGAGTAAAATGTCGTGGTCTACTGTGTCAAAAGCTTTTCTTAGGTCAATAAAAATTCCTAGTGTAAATTCCTGTGTAAAGCAGATCTAGCATTTTTATGATTGCGTCATAAGTGCTTTCATTTTTCCTAAATCCAAATTGGCAGGGGTTGAGTATGTTTTGTGCTGTTATAAATGAATATAGTCTCCTGTGCACGAGTTTCTCAAAGATTTTGGATAGCAATGGTAAGTTTGATATTGGCCTATAGTTGTTTAAGTCTGTTGGGTCACCACCTTTATGTATTGGTGTAACCCTTGCCATCTTGAGTAGTTTCGGGAAGGTGCTAGTTTTTAGTGACTTGTTAAAAAGTAATGAAATAGCATGCGAAAGGATATGGGCCGCTCGCTTGTACAGTAATGGTGGGACATTAGACAGATTCCCTGAGTTGTTTTTAAGTGACTTTATAATCTCGGTGACTTCCGAGGGCTCAGTTGGTGCAAGATAGAAGGAATTTGGGAAATTCCTATCTAGGTAGTCCCCGGCATGGGCATTAGTATGTAGGATTTTATTGGCGAGATTAGATCCTATGGTTGAGAAGAAGTCATTTATCTTGTTAGCTGTGTCAAGGGCCACATTAGGCCATGGACCACCGCAGACAGGACCACGAGTCGCCTGATCTGAGCTTATCCTCATTCTCAGAACAATGCTTCATAAAGCTCTGATTAGTACGTCATGTAGTCTAAAAAGCTTATATTTGTAAAGCTTTCCACTGCAGCTCATTGAAAATATAAACAATATCAGAAAAAATGAAGCCTAATTATACAATTTTCGCTTGTGGCAGTTAATTAAGCCAGTTTCTCTTAAACTAATTTACAATAGACTAGGTCAGAGCCAATGATAAGCAAGCAGGACCCGAGAATGGAGTTTCATGACTCTCTGATCGCGGGTTCTAACCCCGCCCGTGGTATGGTTTGAGGCTAGTAGAATCCAGTAGAGAAGCTACCAGAATTCAACCGCTACCACCGCTACCACCGCTACCACCGCTACCACCGCTACCACCACCACCACCCCACCACCAACAACAACAACACTACCATCACTCACTTAATATCGGCACTGCAGCCTCCCCACTTCCAGCCTGAGGCACTGTAGCGGCCCCGCTTGCGGTCGTCACACCCACAAGTGGAGATGTTGCCGCGGGCGCATGCGGCAGTCACGCTGTACGCCACCCCTGCGCTGGTCACCGCGTACACATACGCAGCTTCACGACTCCCTGCGGACACAAGCGTACATGAGAGTGAAGGAGCACTACGGCAAGCCTACTGGTCAGTAGACGTTACTACAACTATTACTGCAACAGCTATTACTACAAATAACAATAATAACTGTACCTATTTACAATAAGAAGATGGTTAACATATTAACAAATAAAATTAAGCAAACATTCGCAGACAGACGATCTTAACAATGCAAGACAAGTCACAGGAGGGAGATACCTGCAGTTCAACCTCAGGACCCACCCACTCTCCTCAGGACCCACCCACTCACCTCAGGACCCACCCACTCACCTCAGGACCCACCCATCACTCAGACCCATCTCAGGACCCACCCACTCACCTCAGGACCCACCCACTCACCTCAGAGACCCACCCACTCACTCAGACCCACCCACTCACCTCAGGACCCACCCACTCACCTCAGGACCCACCCACTCACCTCAGGACCCACCCACTCACCTCAGGACCCACCCACTCACCTCAGGACCCACCCACTCACTCAGGACCCACCCACTCACCTCAGGACCACACCACTCACCTCAGGACCCACCCACTCACCTCAGGAACCCACCCACTCACCTCAGGACCACCCACTCACCTCAGGACCCACCCACTCACCTCAGGACCCACCCACTCACCTCAGGACCACCCACTCACCTCAGGACCCACCCACTCACCTCAGGACCCACCCACTCACCTCAGGACCCACCCACTCACCTCAGACCCACCCACTCACCTCAGGACCCACCACTCACCTCAGGACCCACCACTCACCTCAGGACCCCCACTCACTCAGGACCCACCCACTCACCTCAGGACACACCCACTCACCTCAGGAACCCACCCACACTCACCTCAGGACCACCACTCACCTCAGGACCCACCCACTCACCTCAGGACCCACCCACTCACCTCAGACCCACCCATCACCTCAGGACCCACCCACTCACCTCAGGACCCACCCACCACACCTCAGGACCCACCCACTCACCTCAGGACCCACCCACTATCACCTTCAGGACCACCCACTCACCTCAGGACCCACCCACTCACCTCAGGACCACCCACTCACCTCAGGACCCACCCACTCACCTCAGGACCCACCCACTCACCTCAGGACCCACCCACTCACCTCAGGACCCACCCACTCACCTCAGGACCCACCCACTCACCTCAGGACCCACCCACTCACCTCAGGACCCACCACCACCTCACCCACTTCAGGACCCACCCACTCACCTAGGACCCACCCACTCACCTCAGGACCCACCCACTCACCTCAGGACCCACCCACTCACCTCAGGACCCACCCACTCACCTCAGGACCCACCACCACTCACCTCAGGACCCACCCACTCACCTCAGGACCCACCCACTCACCTCAGGACCCACCCACTCACCTCAGGACCCACCCACTCACCTCAGGACCCACCCACTCACCTCAGGACCACCCACTCACCTCAGGACCCACCCACTCACCTCAGACCCACCACTCACTCAGGACCCCACTCACCTCAGGACCCACCCACTCACCTCAGGACCCACCCACTCACCTCAGGACCACCCCACTCACCTCAGGACCCACCCACTCACCTCAGGACCCACCCACCTCACCACCCTCAGGACCACCCACTCACCTCAGACCACCCACTCACCTCAGACCACCACTCACCTCAGGACCACCACTCACCTCAGGACCCACCCACTCACCTCAGACCCACCCACTCACCTCAGGACCCACCCACTCACCTCAGGACCACCATCACCTCAGGACCCACCCACTCACCTCAGACCCACCCACTCACCTCAGACCCACCCACTCACCTCAGGACCCACCCACTCACCTCAGGACCCACCCACTCACCTCAGGACCCACCCACTCACCTCAGACCCACCCCACTCACCTCAGGACCCACCCACTCACCTCAGACCCACCCACTCACCTCAGGACCCACCCACTCACCTCAGGACCCACCACTCACCTCAGGACCCACCCACTCACCTCAGGACCCACCCACTCACCTCAGGACCCACCCACTCACCTCAGGACCCACCCACTCACCTCAGGACCCACCCACTCACCTCAGGATCCACCCACTCACCTCAGGAACCACCCACTCACCTCAGAACCACCCATCACCTCAGGACCACCCACTCACCTCAGGACCACCACTCACTCAGACCACCACTACCTCAGGATCCCATACCCCCACTCACCTTAGGATCCACCCACTCACCTCAGGACCACCCACTCCCAGGACCACCCACTCACCCAGGACCACCCACTCACCTCAGGACCAGCCCATCTCACCTCAGAACCACCCACTCACCTCAGGACTCCACCCACTCACTTCAGGACCCACCCACTACTCAGGACCACACCTCACCCACTCACCTCAGGACCACCCACTCACCTCAGGACCCACCCACTCACCTCAGGATCCACCCACTCACCTCAGGACCACCCACTCACCTCAGGACCCACCCACTCACCTCAGAACCCACCCACTCACCTCAGACCCACACCACTCACCTCAGGATCCACCCACCCACCATCAGGACCCACCCACCTCACCTCAGGACCACCCACTCACCTCAGGACCACCCACTCACCTCAGAACCACCCACTCACCTCAGGACCACCACTCACCTCAGGACCCACCCACTCACCTCAGGACCACCCATCACCCAGACTCACCCACCTCACTTCAGAACCACCCACTCACCTCAGGATCCACCCATCACCTCAGGACTACCGACCCACTCACCTCAGATCCACCCACTCACCTCAGGACCCACCACTCAACCACACCTCAGGACCCACCCACTCACTTCAGGACCACCACCTCACCTCAGGACCCACCCACTCACCTCAGGACCCCCACCACCTCAGACCTCACCCACTCACCCTCAGGATCCACCCACTCACCTCAGGATCCACCCACTCACCTTCAGGATCCACCCACTCACCTCAGGATCCACACCACTCACCTCAGGACCACCCACTCACCCACTAGGACCACCCACTCACCTCAGGACCGCCCACTCACCTCAAGATCCACCCACTCACCTCAGGACCCACCCACCTACCTCTCAGGACCCACCCACTTACTCAAGACCCCACCACTCACCCCTCAGGACCACCTACCCACTCACCTCAGGACCCACCACTCACCTCAGGATCCCACCCACTCACCTCAGGAACCACCCACTCACCTCAGGACCCACCCACTCACCTCAGAACCCACCCACTCACCCTCAAGGACCCCACACTCACCTCAGGATCCACCCATTCACCTCAGGATCCACCCACTCACCTCAGAATCCACCCACTCACCTCAGGATCCACCCACTCACCTCAGGATCCACCCACTCACCTCAGGATCCACCTACTCACCTCAGGAACCACCCACTCACCTTAGGATCCACCCATTCACCGCAGAATTCACCCACTCACCTCATAATCCACCCACTCACCTCAAGATCCACCCACTCACCTCAGGATCCATCCACTCACCTTAAGATCCAATCACTCACCTCAGGATCCACTCACTCACCTCAGGATCCACCCACTCACTTCAGGATCCACCCACTCACCTCAGGATCCACCCACTCACCTCAGGATCCGCCCACTCACCTCAGAATCCACCCACTCACCTCAGGATCTACCCACTCACCTCAGGATCCACCAACTCACCTTAGGATCCACCCACTCACCTCAGGATCCACCCACTCACCTCAGGACCTACCCACTCACCTCAGGACCCACCCACTCACCTCTCGATCCACCCACTCACCTCAGCACTCACCCACTCACTCAGGACCCCCACTCCCCACCAATCACCTCAGCACTCACCCACTCACGTCAGGACCCCCACCCCCCACCCACTTCAGGACCCACCCACCCGCTCACCCCACTTCAGGACCCACCGACCAACTCACCCACTTTAGGAACCACCCACCCACTCACCCATTTCAGGAACCACTCACCCACTACAGGACCCACCGACCCACACTCACTCAGGACCCACCCACCACACACCCTCAGACCCACCACCATCAGACCACCACATGCCACATGGTACTCTGGAGTCTCCAGGTCTCTGTGTGAACAGACGTAAGGCGTAATTACGGGGTGGGTCTGTCCCTACAGCCCAGCCTTCAGGGTTACGTCGACAGCCCTCACAACTCTGGCTGGTCTGGACTGGTCTGGACTGGTCTGGAAACTGAATGAAGAATCCAGGTATTATTCTGCAACTAGAAGATAGACAGACAAATAGAAAAATATGGACAGACAGACAAAACTTCCCGAAGCCTGTACTTTTCTCCAGACTGAGGGGCTGAACACATCATCTCTAGGCTGAAGGGACTGAACACATCGTCTCTAGGCTGAGGGACTGAACACATCACCTCTAGGCTGAGGGACTGAACACATCATCTCCAGGTTGAGGGACTGAACACATCGTCTCTAGGCTGAGGGACTGAACACATCATCTCCAGGCTGAGGGACTGAACACATCGTCTCCAGGTTGAGGGACTGAACACATCATCTCCAGGTTGAGGGACTGAACACATCATCTCCAGGTTGAGGGACTGAACACATCATCTCCAGGCTGAGGGACTGAACACATCATCTCCAGGTTGAGGGACTGAACACATCATCTCCAGGTTGAGGGACTGAACATATCAGTTCCAGGTTGAGGGACTGAACACATCATCTCCAGACTGAGGGACTGAACACATCATCTCCAGACTGAGGGACTGAACACATCATCTCCAGACTGAGGGACTGAACACATCATCTCCGGACTGAGGGACTGAACACATCATCTCCAGACTGAGGGACTGAACACATCATCTCCGGACTGAGGGACTGAACACATCATCTCCCGGTTGAGGGACTGAACACATCATCTCCAGTCTGAGAGACTGAACACATCATCTCCAGACTGAGGGACTGAACACATCATCTCAAGGTTGAGGGACTGAACACATC